AATGGGTGGACGAATGGATTGCTTCGAAACAAACATCGTTTTATCGAGATGGTATCGCCCAGTTGCCAGAAAGATGGCAAAAAGTTGTAGAAAGTGATGGAAAATACTTTCATTGAAATAATTTAAATAAATTTTTTACAATAAATGCTTTTCCTCAGTATTTTTTGGGCGGAAACTAAGTTAAGGTCCTAATATTTTGGAGAATTTTGTATTTAATTAAAATATACTCGTATATTTATAAGTTACGTATTATATGTATTATATGAAATAATAATTAAATGTATACTTCCACGATATGGAATTATAATTAATATCTATATAAAAAAATAAAAATTATAAATTGCTAAAGAACTTTTATAAAATAGATTGCAATTTATCTTTCAAAGTTGTATATCATTAGCTTTTTATCGTTGATTATATTAAATAAAAAATTACTTTTTTATATGATTGAACGTGTTAACGCCTATAAAATTTACCTGTTCGGTAAGTTGTTCACCAGTGTAACAATACATAAATAAATGTAGTACTATATTTCCAACGCATAACATGTAAACGCATACCCCTGGTGTGTTGTTACTCTGCCATTCCTATAAATATGACATTTTTGTTGGTAGAGTTTTTTATTTTTTTTAAAAACACGCGCGAATATATAAAACATATATGCTTCCTGAAAAAAATTTTTAAACTTACAATGATTATAAAATACATAATAATGCAGAGAGTTATAGTATTCACCATCATTTCCATGAGGAATACTTCTTGCAGCGTATGGTGTACCATTCGCAGAAAACTAAAACGTAATTACTGTTAACATCAAATCATTATTATAACACGAGCGACAACACAGTATATCGAATGAATAGTAAATCATTAATATTGTAAAAGATACACAAATAATGGTGGATAAATAATGATAAATAATGATATTCTCTAATTGATTTTCTCACACATTAAGTAAATTAATATACAAGTCTATCATATACATTAGTGATATCCTTATGATATACAGACTCATCCCGTACACAGCCTATACTCACCCTATACTCACCCTATACAAACTCACCCTCGTACTCGCACTTGATGCTCGACTATATCAGCCAATTTCTTATTCACTTCGTATTCTTTTTGTTCTTCGACAAGGCTCGTCATTAAATCTCTCAAAATTCTCATTTGGCCGGAAGCATGGATCACGAAAATGGCTGTGAGACCGCACGCACCTGTCGCAATCGAGGCTGTAATTAATCCGCTGACAAATTGAATCGTAAAGAATATCTCGTAGATAGGAGTGACTTGCACATCGATAAAAATGAGGTAACTTGGACAGGCCAAAGGCCTAATAGTAACATTCTGTTCGGTGATGATGTCTCCTTGTGACAAGGGAAGGATTGTCCGAAACACAATGGCACCGGTGAACATGAAAGTCGCGCACACTGTGACTAGGCGTTTGGCAATCCTCGCGAATTTTGACATCATGTTTCGTACATCCGCGTTGAGAATATTGTCCCAATCTTCTTGAACGTGCTTCAAGCACTGTCCAATTTGATTATCACGAAATACAAACATGACGTATTGAATAATAGTCATAGCATCATAAATGAGAAAAGGTATCATTTGAATACGAGTACGCGTATCTCCTTGTGTCATCCAATAAATGAAACCGGGAATTAGGTTGCAACTGAGAAGAGTGTAAAAGACGGCAATTAACAAGAACTTGTAAACTTTTTCGCACAATGTTTTGTCCCTGTTAATGGACGGCCAGATTCCAAGTATAGTCATAATATTACGCGTTGGTTGCGTGATGTACATGATATCGTACAAAGAGTTATGTGGCATTTTTTTAGAATCTTCGAAGAACGCTCCGCAATATTCTCATGCTTCATTCAATACATCCTAGTACGAACAATGCGGAATCTAGACGGGATCTAAATCACGATTAAACGTTGAAAAGTGAAGCCGATCGTAAAGTAAACTTGCTTGTCGCATGCGCTTGCGTTGAATTAAAGATTCAAATACTGCATGCGGAAGAAAGCTTGAGAGCGGGGAAGTTTGAAAACAGAGTGGATAGTCGAGGGTTGGGATTGCTTTCCCTGAAGATTATTCTTGTCTACCAACGTTCATCGATCTTTCTAACAATTAAGGACATGTTATGTTATACTGAGTAAAACATTTTTCTACCGGCAATTGTGAAACATGTTTTTCTGCTAAGAAGAATTATTAGTGACGTGATAGTGTGATATCATAAATCTTTGACCTTGAATGCAATTTTTTATATAATACTGTAAATAACTATTCTTTCTATTGAATTAAAATTTCATAGGAATATTGAACCTGTGCGATGCTTGAGCTTTGGCGTATTCGAGAAGGATCGTACCAAGTCAGTACTTAAGATCGTACTTATGTTGGTAACTCTAATTTCTTCCTCCTATTTTCAATCAGCTGATTATTATAGTGTAATATATAGGAAGTCTTGAAGAAATTTTCTTATTCGTATCTTCAAAATTTTCAACATTTTTTTACATTTTTACGTGTTTTACATATTCTTCAAAAGTTAGATCTAAAAAAATGTATCTATTTTTATGATATCTAAAAAATTAACGAAATTATAAGAAAAAAGAAATCGAAGAAAACAGCTTATTTGTATAAGAAAAAGGATTTCTGTATGATCCTGGGATAGCAGATTAAACACAAGTATGTAAACATATAGAATCAGTCAGAATTATTAATAACTAAAATTTCTTATTGAATATTAGAGCACGGCGGAAAATAGGCGATTTTTGTTTAAAATATTGTTATTTTATTATTTATATATTTTTAATCGCAATTATAATTCAGATTATAGCTGCACCCATAAAGAATAAAAGGCAATTTTGCTTTTCTGTCTTAGATAACTTTAAAAAGCTGAAATTTGCACACCGTCCATTTAAAATTTCCTTGTTTTCATTGTAATATTTTTTATATATTTTTAATCTTACATACTTATATAAAAATTATATACATTCTTCAAACATTATTAAACAAACTCCTTTAATCAAGTTATTAACAAGTAGTTTACGTCAAATAAATCAATTAAAACATGTGTCCAATATTTTCAAAAATATGTGGAGTAAAGGTTGTTTATAATGTGAAGTCTCTTTGTTTTATTAAACCAGAAATGTTCTTATCGAGAACAATGAATGGGTCGGTGTTCCGCGAAGAAGAAGTATTAGCGGTGAACGCGATGTCATGCGTGCACGTGATGAAACATTGATGGCAATATGTAACTTCTCACAAACGATGATAGAAATTGGTCTATGAGAGAGGTATAGTTGAGAAGACTTCATATCGCATATATTTATATACTGCACTAATTTTATATATTTTATAAATATATACTACTGATATTTTTTTATACTACTAATGTTTTTTTATATGTACATTGAACGATGTTTCCCCGAGATACACGTATGACTCACGTTGTAACTTCGACAATTAGTATTTAAAAACTTTCAGTCGATTACATTTCGGAGCATATTAAAATAAGCTCCGGCTGTTTTTATGGCCTAAAACATACAGTAACGCGACTTACTTCAATTTGCTTTCAACAAAAATCTACAAATTAGACATAAATGATTATTCAGACATATAATAAATAAATAAATATATATATAGTGCAAAAGCTATATAGAAGTAAAAAGAACTTAACTAAGTTTATCAGTGTTACATCTATAAATAAAGAAACGTTAATTATACTTGGCACTGATATTTATCATATATAAATATAATAATTGCAAAGGAAAATAAATTAACACGATAGAACTAATGGTTATATATTCTAGGAGAAATCTCCATACCCGAATGTAAAAAGAAAAAAAATTAATATTGTTCAAAGCATATAAAAATATTAAACAAAATTGTTTGTAAATATTTATAAATAAACGAATGCTTTAGTTTAAGTTCATTTCCTTACATCACCAAATGTTTTAAGGGAGAGATCAAAAAAGTTTCCAGCGGATATTTTGGTTGGAGCATTAGACATGATCATTAGCAGCACGACGCAACGTGCTTTTCTATTCGGAAGACGGTACCATTCAAGCTCACAAGATACAATGGCCACTTTCTCCGCCTATGATTAATATTATAGAACGCACATAAATGTATACATAAAGTTTGAATGTATTTTCATTGACGCTACTTCGAAAAAAGACATATGACGTATATATATGTTGTATTTTTCTGAAATATTTCGTATTTAATTGTAACATTCTCATCACAATATATTCGTATATTCATAAGTCATATGTATCATAGGCATTATAAGAAATAATATTTAAACATGTATTTCCATAAATAGAATTATAATTAATAACTATGTGAAAAAATTGAGGTAATAAATTGTTATGAAACTTTTACAAAATAAAGTGCAATTTATCTTACAAAGTCATATGTAGTCAGCTTTCCATCATCAGCCATATCATTAAATAAAAGAAACACTTTTTTATATGACTGGACATATTAACGCCTATAAAACTTACCTGTTCGGTAAGTTGTTCACCTGTATAACAATACATAAATAAATGAACTGCAACATCTCCAACGCACAATATATAAATGTATATTGCTGTTGTATTGCTATTTTGCCATTCCTATAAATGTGATGTTTTCATTGATAGCTTTTAATTCTTTCTACAAACTAAATGTGTGCACTTTCTTATATTTCTTACACACATACAGAAATAGACTTACAATTATTATAAAATACATTAAAATGCAGAGAGTTAGCGTGTTCACTGTCATTCCCGTGAGAAATATTTGTTGTAGAGTGTGCTGTACCATTCGCAAAAAACTAAAATGTAATTACTGGTGACGGCAATTCATTATTATAACACGTGAGATAACAGCGTATCGAAAACAAATAAATAATAAATGAATAGTTATTAATATCATAGAGGATTGACAAATAATGAAATTCTAATTATCTCACATATATAGGATGTCTTACACTCTCCTCCGGGCATTTTGTGGGAACATAGAACAGGTTGCGGTGAACATAAAAGTCTTGTATCGTTTTGCGATATTCACAATAATTATCGAGATATTAATTGTAGAAAATTTGTGAATGATCATGCAGAATATGGTAAATGAGTTATAGTAGCGACGACTGCTGTCGTGTACTTATACTTTAGGTCAAATTGAACAAAAAAGTCCTCTACCATTTTCCAAATAATCACATAGATTTTTAATTATAAATTAAATTAGATTATTACACGATTTTGCGTGATAATGCACTCATCTTCTTTAATTAATAATTAAAAATCTATGTGATTATTTGCAAAATGGTAGAGGACTTTTTTGTTCAATTTGACCTAAAGTATAAGTACACGACGACAGTCGTTGCTACTATAACTCATTTACCATATTCTGCATGATCATTCACAAATTTTCTACAATTAATATCTCGATAATTATTGCGAATATCTCAAAACGGTATAGGACTTTTATGTTCACCGCAACCTGTTCTACGTTCCCACAAAATGCCTGAAGGAAAGTGTGAGACACCCTGTATAAGTAAATTAATATGCAAATCTATAATATGCACTAGTGATATTATGCTATAACTCACCCTCGTACTCGCATTTGATGTTCGACTATATCAGCCAATTTCTTATTTACTTCGCATTCCCTTTGCCATTGTTCCTCGACAAGATTCGTCATTAAATCTCTCAAAATCCTCAGCTGGCCGGAAGCGTGGATCACGAAAATGGCTGTGAGACCACACGCACCTGTCGCGATCGACGCTATAATTAATCCACTGACAAATTGAATCGTAAAGTATATCTCGTAGATAGGAGTGGCTTGCACATCGATAAAAACGAGATAACTTGGACAGACCAAAGGTCTAATAGTGACGTTTTGTTCGGTGATGATGTTTCCTTGTAACAAGGGAAGGATTGTCCGAATTAGAACAGCACCACTAAACATGAAACTCGCGCTCACTATGATTATGCGTTTGGTAATTCTCGCGAATTTCAACATCAGCGTTCGTACGTCAGCGCTGAGAATATTTTCCCAATCTTCTTGAACGTGTTTCAAGCACTGTCTAATTTGATCATCACGAAATATAAAGATGCTATACTGGCTGACAGTCATAGCGTCGTAAACGAGAAAAGGGGCCATTTGAATACGAGTACGCGTGTCTCCTTGTATCATCCAATAGAGAAAAATGGGAATCAAGTTACAAATGAGAAGAGTATAAGAGACAGTAATTAGCAAAAACTTGTAAACTCTTTTGCACAATGTTTTCTTTTTGTTAATGGACGGCCAAATTCCAAGTATGCTCATAATATTGCGTGTTGGTTGCGTAATATACATGATATCGTATAAGGAATTTTCGTTATATGGCATATTCTTAAAAGCTTCGAAGAACGCTCGACGATGCGGAATCTAGACGAGATCTAACTCACGATTGAACGTTAAAAAGTGAAGCCAATCGTAAAGTAAACTCACTGGCCGTATGCGCTTGCGTTGAATTAAAGATTCAAATACTGCGGAAGAAAAGTCGAGAGCGGAGAAGTTTAAAAAGAGAGTGAATAGTCAAGGGGGTCAGGATTGCTTTCCATGAGGATCTGTCAACTTCATCGATCTTTCTAACAGATGTTATGTTTTGTACTGAATAAGTATTTTTCTACCGGAAAAAGTGAAGTAATGTTTCTTTGCAAAGAATGGATATTAGTGACGTAACCACGCAACCAAATGAAGTGTTATTGACGAGTGTTTTTTACGTCAAATAAATTAGTTAAAATATGTGTTCAATATTTTTAAGATCATGCGAAGTATATTTTATTAAGCTAGAGATATTTTTTTATCAAAGACAATAAATTGTTTGTTCTGCAAAAAAAGAATATGAAAGTGATATAAAAGACCCTTATAGAAATATCATACTAAGAATCATTGATAATTACTTATTATCCAGTATTTTTAATACTAAAAATAAGTAATTATCAATGATTCTTAGTATGATATTTCTATAAGGGGAGATGGCATACAAGTTTTTTATTTATTATTGGCAATGTGTAAGTTTACACGATATTGCAAATTGTTCTATGAGACAGACATATTAAAGAAAACTTTATATCGCATATATATAACTCTAAATTGTTACATTTAGTATATAATAAATAATGTGATAATAAATATATACTCTACTGATGTGTATTTGTGCTTTTATATATACAGCTATATTTCTCCAACAGATGCATGCACACCAGGCTCCAATAAAGCTATATTATGTAATGAAATAAAAATCTCTTGCGGTGGTCCCAGGTAAGCAATATTTTTATTAATCCTTCTTCCACCTTTTTTGTCTTAAATTTATATTGCTCGCTGTGTTCCTTTTTTATTTTGTGATTTTTATTATGCCCCAATATGATGCGGGCAATTAGAAATCATCACTAAAATATGTCCTAGTAAATGTTAAGACTTTATTGTAGCATAATGTACGGTTTATGTCATTGTTCCTCTGATTTGATTTTGATACTTTCATTCTGTTACATTTCGAAGCATATTAAAGTACGCCCCAGATGTTTTAATAATCTAAAAAAGTCATTTAATGATTCGGTAATAATTTTGATAATCTTAATTCTGTTTTGTATAAAATAATCGTAATTAGAAAAACAATTGTAATTTTATTTTGAATAAAAAGCGATATATCTGCAAATATCTTTTTACATCACCAAACGTCTTGAATGAAAGCTCCATGATCTTGCAAACGGAGATCTTGGGTGGATAATTAGACATAATCATTATTAGAACTACACTGCGCATTTTTGTTTCCGGAAGATGATACCATTCGAGCTCACGGGATTCAGTTGCTACTTTTTCTGCCTGTTATTAATTTATCACAAACATATAGCATTGACCATTAAATTTGTAACAAATATTCGTTATTCGTTATTCTTTATTTGTTATTGCAAGAACAATAAAAGATACGGTTTTTCTTTTCTTTTACACAAAATATGTCTTCTATATAAAAAGTAATAAAATTAACTTTATTTTAATAAAAATGCAACTCTTGGCTCAGTGTAGTTTATGTTTTGAAGTGTTCTTAATTCAAAGGAAAACATTAAAACATTCCTAATGCACATTTCGTATATATTTCTCTTCATAAAATAAAGATAATTTATTGTATACAATAATAATTTTAAGGATACATCTATATCATATATTGAATATAATATCTTTCATATAAAAAGAAATTTTATTAACTGTAGAGCGACATTTTATCTCCTAACTATTGAAAATCAAACACACCTGTTATAAAACATACCTGTTCGTTAAGTTGTTCACCAGTATAACAAAACAGAAATATGTGGATTGTAATGTTTATAATGTTAAGCATATAAGAGCCTATAACCCCAAAGTTGTTAGTGTGCCAATCCTATAAATATATTCCTATAAATATAGTAATTTTCATGAAACGGAGATATTATTAGCAAATAAAGTGATCCATAATAACTTTTTAGTGTAAAGTGTATTAATAAAAAAAATTAATAAAGTATATTAATAAAAATATTAAATTTATCAATAAAATGAACAATGAATAAATTAACGAGCTTTCTTTTTATCGAACATGTGCCATTTCTATTAATTATTTACGTATATGTAAATAATTATGCGCGCGAAACATTCGATTTACTTTCTTATTAAAATCTACTGATAAACTTATACGAACCAATACTACAAAATACAGTAGAAGGCAGATGCTTAAAGTATTCACCATTATTTCTACTAAACAAATTTCTTGCATGGTGTACTGTACCATTTGTAGAAAACTGAAATACAATTAATAGTGATTTTACATCGCGTAACACTATTCTCCCCTCTCATACATACTCACACACACACACATACACACACATTCTCTCTCTCTCTCTCTCTTTCACAAAGTAAAGAAATACAAAGCATTAATATTATAAATGATAGAAGAATATACAGCAAGATTTTTTATCAAAATTTTATCAAATCACAGACTTACCTATGTACTCTTATTTGATGTTCCACTACTTCAGCCAACTTCCTATCTACTTCTTCCTCTTTTTTCCACTGTTCTCGGACAAGATTTTTCATTAAGCAGATCAGGATTTTCATTTGACTGCTGGCATGCTCTACGAAATACGCCAGAAGCCCGTACGCACTCGTCGTAATTGAAACTATAAGGAATCCCGTTAAGGACTGGAATACAAACACTATCTCGTAAAAAGGACTAGTTTGTACGTCAACAAATAAAAAATTAACCGGACAGGCCAAAGGTCTGATTGTGACATTCTGATCGATGACAATCTCTCCCCGCGACAATGGTAAGATTATTCGATACATGATCACGCCACTATACATAAGAACACCGCAGATCATGATTAGGAGCTTCGCAGATTTTGCACATTTGAACATAACGTTCCGATCATTCATACTGAAGGCATTATCCCAATCCTCCTCGACATGCTTCCAGCATTCTCTTATGTTATCATTGCGAGATAGAATGACATCATATTGAACGGCACACATGAAGACGTAGAGGAGAAGAGGGGTTAATTGAAGACGCATACGCGACGAGTCTTCAAGTAACCAATAAATACAGCCGGGTATAATTTCGCAGGCTAAAAGAAAATTGGAGCTAAAGTTTAGAAAGAGATTGTAAACTCTCCGGAATATGGATCTCTTTCCACTCCTGGATGGCCAAACACCGATTGCGAGCATGAGAGTACGAGTTGGTTGCATGACATATACCATATCATCCTGACTATGTATGTTTCGCGGCATTTCTTTATGAACGTTGACGAACGTTTTACGCACGTTCTACGAACACGATACTCAATGGTTTTATTCGTGGCGCAACCTACCCTTAATAAGAAATCTGAACGCGAGCTGAATAACGACTGATCTTGGAAACGCAAAGCTAGTCATGATGTAAACTTTATTACGCTCATACGCTTGCGCAGTTTAAAAATTCAAACATTATATGCGAGGAAGCGGTAGTAGTAAAGTTTGCACGAACGAAGTTGCAAACCTCGAGAGACAATATTTTCTTCTGTAAAAAGTACCCTTTTCCGTTGACTTTGTTCGTTGACTTTTGTGGCAAACAGGAAAATCGTACTGTTTAACTTTGTCCCTTTCTCAAGGTTGTGACTTACGGTCATAACATTGACCAGGAAGTAACAGTTTTGATTACATTAAATGGAGTACTTTTGATCAACTACTACAAATACACATGATAATTTATTGACATACAAATATTTCTTTTGTCAAGGATAGTCAGTTAAATAACTATCGAATCATATGTTTTTCAAAATGCCTCATCTAAGACTGAATAACTTATCCGGAATAACTCTTATTATGTGTAATCGCTACATAATTATCTTTGTATAAGAAGATATATATATATATATATATATATATATATATATATATATATATATATATATTAATCTATTTGACATGCATGTTATTATTGTGCAATGTTGGATGATATATAATAATAAGCGGGCACACAAATAAAATATTAAAATATTAAAGTAAAGTATTAAAATATTGAAGTATATCACAATAAGGGATGATCTTAATGAACAAAATAACATGTATATATTAATTAACAACACTCTAATTATATTAAATATTTAGTAAGAAATAGATTTATTATTTTACCTGCAAATTAATGCATGGTCTTTTATCAATGCAACTTTTACTTACGTCTCTGAAGGGAGAGATCGTGGAATTTTCCAAGTTCATGTTTCCTAGGACATTCAACATAGCGATGTGTGATTAACCGTTGCCGTGTGTAAAAGGATGATACAAATATTATATAAATATTATATAAATATTATATAAATATAATAATATGATATAAATATTATGAATTTTGATGTTCTTTCCCAATCTTCAAGCAGTTGTCATCCAGTCTGTGAATATCTTGATACATAAATAAGCGTATATATCGTTCAATTAACGTCAAATAAGTAGATACAAAATATGTTTCTTTATAATAATGCGAAGTAAAGTCTATTTATGTTCGGATGACCAGTTTTCTGTGGACACTAAAAAGATAAATGTTTTGTAAAAAAGAGATATTAATAATATAAACACGATATCTTATGCGAGTCCTTTATATATTGAAATCATTTACTGAATCATTTACTGAAATCATGTTAACAATATGTAACTTTGCACAAACAATGATATAAATTGCTCTATAGGGAAGGAATATTCAATAAGACATATGTTGTGTGAATAAATTTATACCAATAAATTTTTATATTTTATAAATAAATACTACTCATGTGTATGTGGATGTATTAGTGTGTGTGTTTATATATTTGTACTTTTATATACACAAATGACTGTGGCCCATATTCTGAACTCTTTTTTTATCGCTAAAAACATCTTTAAAAATGACTTATAATCAGTCAAAAAACATATAAGCTACTATTAGAAGCGCTTTTAGCGATAAAAGAAAATTCAGAATATATGACAATGTTGTTCCGAAATATGTTTGCAGCAAGCTTAAATAAGCTTTTTACATATACCAGGCCAAAGTAGTTTGCGTTAGTCCTAAATGTGTAACGTCAGTATTTCTTTCCGTTACGAAACGTATTTATGTACGTTCTTTTATTTTAAACTCTCGTTAATTGCAACGTTACTTTTCTTATTCCGAAACAGTTTCTGTTTTTTCATGTTAAAGAATTATTGAAGCTTACTATATTATTTACATTATAATTCCGGCGATTTGTCATATTCCAGTAACATGATATATTCACTCAGTTACATTTCGCAACATGTTAAAGTAAGCCCCAGATGTTTTAATAATCTAAAACATTTACTTTATTACTTGTTAATCAGTTAAATATTCCTTATTTTGCTTTGGATAAAAATCTATATATTTAAAAATATCTTCTTACATCACCAAATGTCTTCAATGATAGCTCCATGATCTTGCCAGCAGAGATTTTAAGTGGACGGTTAGACATGACCATCAGCAGAACGACACTACGCATTTTTTTCTCCGGAAGATGATACCATTCGAGCTCGCGGGATTCAATTGCTACTTTTTCCGCCTATTATTTTTTATCATTTGTATGTAACAACGCCATAATATTTCCCATAAATGAAATTTTAGAGATAGTATAAGACACAGTTGTTCTTTCTTTACAAAGGATTCCAGAAAAGTAATAAAGTATAATTTTTTAAGAATAGTGTATTAAATTGATTATTCATAAAACAATATAGTTTTTTCGATAAAGCACTCCTCGAACACAATCTACTTGTGTCAGTGCGTCGATTCTACAAAAAAATTGAAATCTACAAAAAAATCTGGATCACTTTCAAATCATTTAAATGTTTCTTCAAACACTTCCTTTCGACATATATATTAGTTATGAGTCAAATTTTACGAAAATCTCTCTCTCTCTCTCTCTCTTTCTCTTTCTCTACATTATCTTCTTTATATTTATATTTTCTATAAGAATCTTGTGCATATCATGACACACACACGCGCGCACACACACACACACACACACACACACACGATTCAAATACAATTTCTCAACTATCTTTCACACTGCGAAATGCCGATTTTGATTGATTAAAACCTTCATACATTTAATGTTTATCTAATACTTTGTAGGAACTCAATGCTTAAACGAGACTAACATCCACTATTTCTTAACTTCCGGAAAATTTTACTGCATAACATTCTTCAACTATTACACACTATTATCCACATTTTTATACGTCATTTTTTAAATACACACTTACACAAATGATTGTAGAATTACATTTGTTTAAATTATTGAATCGAAACTTGTACCGAAGGTGTATTCAAAATACAGTTCTTAGCTAGAGATATTTTTAGTTAGACAATATAATTTAAAACCGAGAAAAGAACTCGTTTTTTGTTTTAATAGAGACTACAGATTTCTCTTTATAAGACACGAATGACTTATATTATACAATAATAATGATAATGGAATATCTCTATCGTTACGATTAATACACGACTTCTTGTATATAAAAATGAATTATGTTAACTGTAGAATAATATTGTGATAACTTTATCTCCATCATTATATATAATTCGAAAATTAAACACGTATAAAAAAATACCTGGTCGTTCAGTTGTTCACCGACGTAACAAAATAGAAATATATGAATTGTCACGTTCACAATGTTTAATGCATAAGAACCTATAACTCCAAAATTACTAGTGTTCCAATCCTATAAATATATTCCTATAAATGTAGTAATATTCATGTAACATATATTATTATATATACCAAAATATACAATATGCTTTCTTAATAAAAGGAATTATTCAATTTATACAAACCAATATTACAAAGTACAACAGGAGACAAATAGATAAAGTATTCACCATTATTTCTACCAAACATATTTCTTGCATGGTGTATTCCACCATTTGAAGAAAACTGCAATATGATTACTAATGGAGTTATATCGTCACTATATGTGCACAAAGAAAAATAGAAAAAATACAATAACAGAAAAATAAAAAAATATTAATATACGGAAATGACCAAAATATACCCTGCGTGCCTCTTTATAATAATAAATTAGGATTAAGTTGTGCAATGTACATCAGAAAAATACAAGCAAAAATATTTATAATTTACATGCTCACTTGCGTACTCGTATTTGATGTTCCACTACTTCAGCTAACTTCTTATTTATTTCGTTCTCTTTTTTCCATTGCTCTTGGACAAGGCCTTTCATCAGGCAGATCAGAATCTTCATCTGACCGCTGGCATGCTCCACGAAATATGCTAGAAGACCGTATGCACTCGTGGCAACCGAAACTATAAGGAATCCCGTTATTGATTGAGATACAAACAGTATTTCGTAAAAGGGACTAACTTGTGCATCGATAAATAAAAAATTAACAGGACAGGCCAAGGGTCTTATCGTGACATTTTGATCGGTTACAATTTCTCCCAAAGACAGTGGCAAGATTATTCGATACATAAATGCACCAGTGTACATAAGAGCTCCACAGATCAAAATCAGGAACCTTGCAGACTTCGCGCACTTGAACATAATAATACGCGCATCCAGACTGAAGATATTTTCCCAATCTTCCTCAACATGCTTCCAGCATTGTCTGATGTTTCCATTGCGAGACAGAAGAATATCATATTGAATGGCAGACATGAAGACATAAAGGAGAAGAGGGCCCATTTGAAGTCGCATACGCACCGACTCTTCCAATAGCCAATAAATACCACCGGGTATAAATTCACAGGCGTAAAGAAAATTAGAGCTAAAGTTTAGAAGAAGGTTGTAAATTTTTCGAAATACGGATATTTTTCCGCCCCTACACGGCCAGACACCCACTGCGAGCATGAGAGTGCGCATTGGTTGCATAACATATAGGATATCATTTCGGCTATGTGCGTTTCGCGGCATTCTTTTATAGACACTAGCGATCGTTCTACGACACTCACTGCTTTCATTCGTTATATAGCGACTATTGTTAGTGCGAAATCTGAACGCGAGCTGAATCGCGACTGAACGTCGAAGTACAAAGCTGCTTATAAAGTTAACTTCATTGCTTCCATACGCTTGCGCGCTTTAAAAATTAAAGCATTGCGTGCGAACAACTGTGTGCGTTGCAAACTTTAAAGGATGAGATTTTCTTCTGTGCAAACTATTCTTATCCGCTGGTGACCGTCGACCTTTGGTGCAAACAGGAAAACCGTGGTTTTTAATTTTGTCCCTATCTGTTTTGCATCTCGTAATCAAAATATTCACCTGCAAGAGTAATAGTTTTAATTACATTACATGGAACCCTTCTATTTTCTTCACTATTATACATTTATGTACTAGTAAACCATCATGGAAAGAGTTCTTTCCTACGGGGAATAATTGTTGAATAATTTTCGAGTCATATGTTTATACAAATAGGACATTCCTCTATTGGGAACATATATTGAAGGATTTGACATACGATGTAAAAAAGAAACAATAATATGAATGCGACGCTATGCGACTTCTTTACGCGCCATAACTTTGTTACCAATATGTAATTTCACACAAAGGATAATGTAAATTCTTCTATAAGAGAGATATAATCCAAAATATTTCACATATGTCGTATATATTTATATACAATGTACTAAACTTTTGTATATTGTATTTTATAAATTTACTACTGATACTATCGTATACATACATTCTTCCGAGATACACATCAAGATTCAATAAAAAGTATACATTTGTTGTGCTAAAATCCGCTTGCGGCGGTTCATAAGCATTATTAACATAATATTTTTTATTGCAATTAAAAAGCCTAAAAATTATTTAATTAAATGATAACGATTATAGAAATCATCAAAGTATACTTGAATTAATAATTGTCAACTCTATATTTCAACTTGGTGGACGATTTATGGCACAGTTTCGATTTCAGTTTCAACTTTGAATTTGATTTCAACTTAACACATTTACTCGATAACATTACAAAGAATATTAAAGTACGCTCCAGCTGTTTTTATAATCTGAAAGATTCATTTAATTATTGTTAATCATTATTAATACTCATTTTGTTTTAAATAAGAAACTATGTATAAGATAGAATCTCCTCACTTCGCCAAACGTCTTCATTGATAGTTCCATGATTTTGCCAGCACAGATCTTCGGTGGATAGTTAGACATGATCATTATCAGAATTACACTACGCATTTTCTTTTCTGGGAGATGATACCATTCGAGTTCACGGGATTCAATTGCTACTTTTTCCGCCTATTTTTTTTTTATACGTAACAACGGCCACAAATTTTTATTTATAATATCAACAGCGTAAGATGTTTTTTTTCGTTCCATATAAGGTATGTCAAAAAAGTAATACTATATAATTTAAAAAGGATATAGACTTAAGTGAATTAAGCCAATTAATTGTACTTATACTTCAGACATAATATATTTGTATCAATAAGTTTTCTACTTTTGGGAACATATTCCAGAAAGTAAAATTACCAATTAAATTAAATTGGTAAATTGTTGATACACTGATAGAGTCAGATGTACAAATTCTATATGAACTTCATTGAAATAATTGAGAAAATAATTATCATTGACTACAATTTTTTTATTTATGCACACATTAGCACTTCAATGAGTTTAATATGAGCAATTTCCCTCTATACGGCATAACTTCCAAATGATAACCGAAAATTAACTGTAATTACTTATTAGAATACGTTCGACAATGTTTGGATTATACAGGGTGTTCGGAAAGTACCGGGACGCCCGAATATCAGGAAAAATATAAGTTTTACAAAAAAATGTTTCAGACAAAAGTTGTGGCGTTTAAAAAGATGTATTTACTGATCACATCAGTTTGACCTTGGGTTGCGTAGCGAAGGTCAGGTCAAGGTCACATTAATTT